ATTTCTGCTAAAAACCCCTCTCCAGCTCCAAGATACTGGCGGGCTGCAGATTCTTTCCTACACTGCTGCAGATATTGATGCTTTTCCTCCACATCTGAGCAGTTTGGCCTCTTCCCATCCACCCCATGCTTGCTGATGGTATTTTGATGAGGTTTTTGCTTTAGGGACAGCAAGGACATAAAGCAAGGAGACAAACCCAGCCTTGGAATTCCAGGGATGGAACAGCCCCAGCCTCTCTGGGCACCTCTGCCAGGGCCTCTGCACCCTCACAGGGAACAATTTCTTCCATTTATCCAACTTAAATTTCCCCTCTTTCAGTCTGAATCTGTTACTCCTTGTCCTATCACTACAATTTCTGCTCTCCAGCTCCAAGATACTGGCAGGCTGCAGATTCTTTCCTACACTGCTGCAGATATTGATGCTTTTCCTCCACATCTGAGCAGAGTCTACCACGCTTGCTGATGGTATTTTGATGATGTTTTTCCTTTAGGGGACAGCAAGGACATAAAGCAAGGAGACAAACCCAGCCTTCTGTGCTTTCAAATGCTGCGTGCAGAGGTTTTCACCTCAGAGCAAAGGGGCTGCTGCTTAGGTGGGCTTGTTTGTGTTCTGTCCCTCACTTAATCTGTCTCACCCACTGAAGGCTACTCTGCAGGGGGACGTGAGGCCCTGAATGCACTCTGGGCAATTAGGTCTCTAAAGCGTTATTTATTACAATTATTTTTATTTCAAAGTGGGTCAGGGCCGTTTTGGCATTTCAGGCGTGGATTCCTGGTTCAATTGCAGGCCTCGGTCGCCATGGCAACTGCAGAAAGCGTTCGTCATGGCTGGGCTTGGGCTGGATTCAAGCTCCAGGGAAGGAGCAGGAGCAGGGAGAGCCCTGAGGGGCTCGGGGCAGGGGCAGCCCTGTGCTCTCCGTGCCCATCCTCGCTGGCATCGCAGGCTCCTCATTTCCTCTGTCTGTGCAGTCCCCCATGTGAGAAATATTCAGCTTTTTATCAGAATATCCTGAATTATCAGGAGATTCAGCCCTCCTGGGTTTGATATTTGTGCAGGGAAAGCCAAAGAAGGAGACCTTCATGTTGTTTTTCCCCGCCTATTTCTGCAGAGGTGAGAATCCACATGCCCCTAACATGAGAGATGTGGATGGATTTAATTTTTCAAACTAAATACAAGCTTGAAACGAGTCTTTAATGTGAGAAATATTCAGGTTTTCCAGTTATCAGAAAATAGGAGGGGAATTCAATCAAACCCTCCTGGGTTTGATATTTGTGCCACTGACTGCAGGGAGAGCCAAAGAAGGAGCCCTTGGTGTTATTTTTTGCCCCCCTATTTCTGCAGAGGTGAGAATCCACACACACCTAACACGATATTTGGGGATGGCTTTAATTTTTTAAACTAAAAAACAAACTTGAAATGAGTCCTTCATGTCAGAAATATTCAGGTTTTCCCAGTTATCAGAAAATAGGAGGGGAATTCAATCAAACCCTCCTGGGTTTGATATTTGTGCCACTGACTGCAGGGAGAGCCAAAGAAGGAGCCCTTGGTGTTGTTTTTTGCCCCCCTATTTCTGCAGAGGTGAGAATCCACACACACCTAACACGATATTTGGGGATGGTTTTAATTTTTTTCAACTAAAAAACAAGCTTGAAATGGGTCCTTCATGTGAGAAATATTCAGGTTTTCCAGTTATCAGAAAATAGGAGGGGAATTCAATCAAACCCTCCTGGGTTTGATATTTGTGCCACTGACTGCAGGGAGAGCCAAAGAAGGAGCCCTTGGTGTTATTTTTTGCCCCCCTATTTCTGCAGAGGTGAGAATCCACACACACACCTAACACGATATTTGGGGATGGCTTTAATTTTTTAAACTAAAAAACAAGCTTGAAATGAGTCCTTCATGTCAGAAATATTCAGGTTTTCCCAGTTATCAGAAAATAGGAAGGGAATTCAGCCCTCCTGGGTTTGATATTTGTGCCACTGACTGCAGGGAGAGCCAAAGAAGGAGCCTTTGGTGTTATTTTTTGCCCCCCTATTTCTGCAGAGGTGAGAATCTACACACACCTAACATGATATTTGGGGATGGTTTTAATTTTTTTCAACTAAAAAATGAGATTGGAAGACGAAATCTGCCCAAGGTTGTGCTTGGCAGAGCCGGCACCAAAAATTGTGGCTCTGGCAGTGTGTGAGCTGGGCAAAAATAAAATTGCCAGCTCTGAGCAATGATCTGAATGCATCTGAATGATCTAAAACATCTGAGCTGGTGCTGCTCCTGTGCAGCTGCAGGGCTGGGCTGTGACTAAAAACCCACCTTGAGGAGCTCTGCAAGACCTTAAAAAGACTAAAATAGCACCAAACTTTCCAGCATTTTTCATCCTGAGTTTCACCTGCGTGCTGTGGCAGCTGTACCCTGGGTTTGAGTTGCTCATTCTGAGCTTTCATTGAGCAGCAGCAAAATCTCCCAAGTGCAAACTGAAAGCAAACAGAGGCTGGGCTGAGTTTGGCTTTTTTTGGTCTTTACAGAGCTGCTCTAAACTCAAGCTCAAAGTGAAACCGAACTCGCACGAAGTGAAAGTGAGACAGGGGTTGTGTGTGATAAACTCAGGTTTTGTAGAGCTGTAGAGGAACAATTAGTCCATGTGTTCACACAGGTTTAGCCAGTGATGTGCTGGTCAGGGACAGTGGCTTCAAATTCTTGCCTTGTGTTTTTGGGGACCTCTCACACAACCAGTGTTGCCTCAATAACGAGCAGGACCAACACAGCCTCAGAATTCAGAGGTTTTAACTGGAAGTCTGCTTTTTCTGCAGTCTGTAAAAATGGCAGTTCAGAACCAATTCCATCAGTTCAGAACCAATTCCATCTCTGGGACCACTGCTGATGAACTTGGAGTCACCAATCTAGCTCTGCTGGGCTGCTAAAATTGAGTTTAACAGGAGCACAGACCAGGTGAAACACCCATTTTGACTAGATCAACTGAAAGTCTGTGAAGGAACCTGATGCTTTTTAATACTTCAATAAACTAAGAAATCCCTGATAATTTTACTTCATGTTATACCTGATCTGTGGCAGGCCGAGCTGCTGGGAGAATGGTTCAGATAATTTTTTATCTTTTGCTTCAGTTATTATTTGGGGGATTAAATCTTGAATATTGCTACAGTTGTTGCTGTACTGGTGTAGCATTCAATATTCCTGTGCCTTGTCCAGGGAAAGGGAGGGCACAGGACAAGAAGATGTGACAATATTTCCCTTGGGGATGTTCCATTGCTCCTCGTGAAGAGCCCCAAGCCAAGGGGGATTGCTCTGCGCTGGAGCTGCCTTGGGGTTTGGCTGATATTTGAACAGGTTTTTATTGCTCTATATTTCTCATTCTACTGAGTAGAAATAGGTAACAGAGCAGAGTTTAGCTTAAATCCACCTTCCTGCCTGCAGAACATTTTGCACACCCATTTTCATTTCAAGCCTGAAATGAAATCCCACACTTTGAAGGGGTGAAAACATCTTCTCAGGGGCTCCTGGGAAGCTCCACGCTGCTGTTCCTGCCCCGTGCCAGCTCCTAGGAAATCTGATTCTGGCCCTGTTTGCATAAGCAGCTTGGCTGTGTGCTTCCTGCAGGCTGCTTGGGGAAAATTTCATCACTTGTGCATTGACACAAGCAGTGAGCAAATAAAGGAGAATTTACAAGACCAGTTCATCCAAAACCAAGCCAAGCCAAACCTGGGGAGTGCGTTACACTGGCTGCTCATATCTGACTAATGCTTGTAAAATGGTTTTGGCATCTTCAGAGGTAAGGAGAGATGGATATGGTTTTTATCTGGGAATTAATGAAACCTCAGGCATGTGTTCAGCTCCTCTAGGTTTTCAGGGAGGAAATGATCCTTTTGGAGTACAGTGCTGTGCGTTATTGTGATTGCTGTGTGCAATTTGGCTTTAATCATAGCCCTTAAGAGTCTGACTGTAACAACTTCTTTAATTCAGTCCCTTGCAGCTGTAATTCCTCCATCCTTTCCCTGCTGCCTGTGCTGTCAGATGTTTGGTGTTGCTCATGGGAAAACAGGCTCCTAAAGAAGTCAGCACAGGTCCAGTCCTTGCACCAGGCTCCTCTGTGACCTGCTGACTGGGGCAGCACAGCTGGGAAAGCCTCGAGGATGTCTGGGCTGGTCAGAAATAGATTTGACTCCTGAAGGAAATGAGTGATGGAGGGAAAAATGGGGGTAGTGTGTGGGATTTTGAAGAGTCTGGCAGGAAGGAGAGGCATCAAAAGAGAAGGAGCAGTGAGGAAATCTGAGTTTTCCTGTTCTGTGTTAGTTTGTGCATTACTGGCTTGCTGATCTATGTACTGGGGCATTTGCTGAGGAAAAAGAACGAGAAGTTCCATTCCCCTCATAATTTCTGTAAAACTCTGAAAAGCCTTGCTTTTCCCATTGTGAAAAAGGAACTTAATTTTTAATTTTCTTTTTAATCACAAAGGCTTTTGGGTCACAGCAAACCGTTTTCATGCCCAGCTCTAACTGGTGTGGGAAAGGATGGCTCTGTACAGGAAATGCTGCATTGAATGTCATCACAGAGCCCAGGGCTTTCTGATGCTCTTTGATGGGGTGTTTTGTGAAAGGTGTGACCCCATTTTCGTGCATCCTGTTGAGAAGAGCTGCACTGACAAAGGAGGGGCAGAGCGAGGCTGTATTGAGCACACGCTGACACCTCTCTCATTCCTCAGTGCACACTTGACTTTGCTAAGCTCAGACCATTTGAAACTGCAGGAGCCAGCGAGTTCCTGCTGGTGGGCACTGCCCTGTGGTCTGAGGGCTGGGAGGGTGGCTGGAGAAAGGCACTGCCAGCAGTTCCTCTGCTAGAGGAGAAGTGCCTGAACCCATGGGGGGCATGGGGTGTGCTGCTCTCAGACTGCTCAGGAAGCAGCTCTGTGCTGTGGCTGCCGCCCAGCTCGGGCTGTGTCAGCTCGGAGATGCTCTAACCCTGCCCTGTGCCCTCCCTGTGCCCCACAGTACCGCCAGTAACTCCAACCGCAGCACGCCCGCCTGCTCCCCGATCCTGCGCAAACGCTCGCGCTCGCCCACGCCGCAGGACGCCCAGGGGGACGCCATGGTGGAGAAGGGCTCCGACCACTCCTCGGACAAGTCGCCGTCCACGCCGGAGCAGGGCGTCCAGAGGAGCTGCTCCTCCCAGTCAGGCCGCAGCGGGGCCAAGAACTCCAAGGTGAGGCTGAGCGCGGGGCCGCGGGTGTCGGGCTGTGCCACGCTGCCTTTGTCCTCTGCCGCCGCCTTCTTCTCTGGCTGCTTCCCTCCCTCTTCCCACGTGCGGTTTCTGGAGGTTCTCCTAACTCAGAGTCCTTCACCTGGGTCAGGCTCAGCACAGCTCTGAGGCTGCAGCTTTCTCTGAGTCCTGTTTTCTCTAGGTCCTTTTTCTTAAAGAAAGGTCCTTTCTCTAGGTCCTTTTTCTTGAGGAAAGGTCCTTTCTCTAGGTCCTGTTTCCTCTAAGTCCTGTTTTCTCTAGGTCCTTTCTCTCAAGGAAAGGTCCTTTCTCTAGGTCCTTTCTCTCTGGGTCCTGTTTTCTCTAGGTCCTTTCTTTCGAGGAAAGGTCCTTTCTCTCTAGGTCCTGTTTCCTCTAGGGCCTTTCTCTAGGTCCTTTCTCTCTAGGTCCTGTTTCCTCTAGGGCCTTTCTCTCAAGGAAAGGTCCTTTCTCTAGGTCCTTTTTCTTGAGGAAAGGTCCTTTCTCTAGGTCCTGTTTCCTCTAGGTCATTTCTCTTGAGGTCTTGTTCCTTGGGAGGCTCTGTGGGAAACCTCCTCCACCAGGGGTTTTCAGCACACCTTGTAACTCAGCTGTTGCAGTTGCTTTTTATCACCTGGATCATGAAATTGATAAGGTTTCCCCTGTGAAGGGCCTGTGCATTCCCCCAGTCCTGTCCAAGCCCTCTGAGATCAGTTCAAACTGCACAGGATCACTTTTCCCACCCCCTGCCCATTCCTCCCTTGGCTGCAGTGTTATGGCTGGCTTGCCCAGGGTCACTGATACTTTCCCCAGGAAGGTTTTGTGTCTTTGGACAATATTAGAAACAGCCTTGTCTTTGCTGTGCAGGGGTAAAGGATTTCAGGTTTGGCTCTAGGGTTTTTTTGTGAGGAATGGGACCTGGTAAAACACACACAAGAGCCTGGGGTGCCAAATAAAGCTTTGATTATAACCCCGAGATCAGTGATGTGTCAGCTGTCAGGAGCACCTGTGTTTGCCCAGATTTTTGAAGGGAGATGTTTCAGCCTGAATAATTTCCCAGGCAGAACTCTGATGGCTTGTACAAAATGAATTGTTAGATCTTTGCCTGATTTATTGCTGGGCTGTGTCACAGACAAGAAATCCTCATCCCCTCCCCTTCGTGGCCACTCAGCAGAGGGACCAGGACTCAGTGGCCCACATTCTGATCTCTCACCACTCTGGGGGCAGTCTGTGAGTTCAAAAGAGGGGGGAAAAGGGTTTTCAAGCTGAATCATTGGCGTTCTGAGGTTGCCCTTGAGGTCAGCCTGGCTTCCTGTGCACACAGTGACCTACAAACCCCGGCCCAGTGCTGGTGACACCCTCAGCACGGGGTTGCCAGCGCTGTGTTCCCAAAGGAAGCCATGGGTGGGAGGATGCAGGGCAGGCTGAGCTCAGAGCCACACTGGGGGTGATCTCAGGGAAAGGGGCTCCTTGGGAAGGGGAACTGTTGCTGTAGGACACGAAAAACCACGAGTGCACACCGCTGTTTTCAAGGTGAAGGAAAAAATAAGTTTATTTTCTAACTCTAACATTTACAGTTTTCTAAGAGTGACAGTGGATTGGAGGGTGACAGTGCCACCTCTCCAATGACACTGGACAAACCAACAGTCTATCAGCTTTCTCTTCTTCTATAAAAGAATGCAAAACAATGAGTTATTTACAGAAAGTGTGTGAGAAAGTTCACTACAAGAATGTCAACATCAAAAAGCTTAGAAAATCTTAAAAAACCAAAGTGACAGGGAACCACAGAGAGGAGTTGTGTCACCCTGGCCCTCAAAATTAAAATCATGGGAGTGAGAATTTTACCAACGCAGTGACTGCTAAAGCTGAGCTTTAATTCCTGGTGCTTTCCACGAGCAAGAGGGGGTACAGTGCTCTCTGTTGGGTGTGTGGGTTTTCCTTCTCTTGATCTGCAAGGTAATTTTTTCTTCTTCCCCTAATTTCTCTCTTTTCATTCCTGCATGCTTTCTCTCCGATTAAGTCACACAAGCGCCTCTCCAAAGTAAGCCTTATTTTTTCTCTCCTGTCCCCCACTGTGGAGCTGTCTCATCACTCAGGAACCCTCCCTGTGGTGCTGAGTGCTGACCCCAGTCAGGCATTCTCCTGCTGTGGCTGGGAGAATGCCAGCCAAGCTCAGCCCCGTGCCTGTAGCTGGAAGCTGGGTTCACTGGCATCACTGGCATCTCTGTGTTTGCTCACACAGACTGAGAACTGGCCTGGGCATCAGCCCCTGCAGCTGCTCCCAAACCATTTCAGCCTTTCGGTTCTGCTTTCCCCTCTCCCTTGAAGTGAGCTGCTGTCTTTGCCAGGGAGAAATCCTCTGGAGTTGAACAGAGCCACGATCCCTTCTCTTTCCTTCTTCCCCCATGGTTTCAGAAACAAGAGTTGTTCTCCATGACTTCTTCCCTGCTTTTCATGATAAATTGCATTTTTGTGGCCAGTGATCTCAGCTTACTGCCCTTGCAAGCTCTGCTGTGTGATGTAAATATTAAAGATCAGTGATTTCAAGTGAACCCAGCTTGAACCTGGTAGAGCAGACCTGTCCCAAATGAATTGTGAGAATTCATGGGCTCGCTCTGAGAGGTGAGAAGTGGAAGATCCCCTCTGTGGGTGCTTGAATTGGAGACAAGATCATTTGGGATTTGATCTCACACCTCTGTGCTGCCCTCAGAAGAGTGGAAAAATCAGAAACACAGGTGGGGTGTTGTTGGAGAAAGTGCCAGGCTGTTGGCATTTCCACTTTATGGCAGCAGAATGGCTTGGATGGCTTCACAAAAATCCACAGAGTCCTTGTCTTGGCCTTTTCCCAGTGGATGCCTCAGGTTTCCTTCTAGGCAAGTTCTCAGAGAGCAGTGCTGGCTCACTGTCACCCCTTGGTCATGGTCCTTGTCACCAGCCTGACCTTGCACGATTTGCTGGTGTCTGCTGGGAGCTCCTTGGTGTGTTTTATTTTAGACAGATTGTTTTGTGCTCGGTGTCTGTGGCTGGGATAGCTGCAGGGGAGCACTGTGGGACTCAAGGTGAGCTGTGAAAGGTGTGGAGCAGCAGAGTCCTGGCAGGGTTGCTGGTGAGTGTGGGCAGGACAGGCTGTGCTGAGCTGCAGGGGCAGGGGGTGGTGGGGAAGAAGCCTGGAACAGAGGGATGATTATAAAATGTGTGTGCAGTGCTGCTGGGAGGTGCCTGCAGCCAGGCCCTGCCTCTCTGAGAGGGAAAAGCCCAACCAGTGTGAGGCAGCTGGGGAAACTGGGGAGATGTTGAGGCCAGATGAGCTCAGAGGGGAAGGGGATCCCAGGCAGGACCCCCAGCAGCCCACCAGAGCCTCCTGCCCTGCTCACACAGAATATTCTGAGTTGGAACCACGAGCATCATCCAGTGTGCGGCCTGGAGCTCTGTTCTGTGCTTCCTCTGGCGCAAATGAGGAATTTTCAGGCATTAAACCCCTGCTTTATGGGTCTTTTCTTTAACCCAGACAATTCTGTTGTCTGCTCACACAGGGAGAGGTTAGGAACAAAAAAACCTGGAGGGCAAAGATCCTGAACTCTCCTTTCTCAGCCTCTTCTCCTCTCCCCACCCATCTCCTGCAGGAAGAATGGTTTGCTTTCCCAACCTTGCTGCCCAGTGAGGTGGAGCAGCTTGAGCCCATGAGTTTGCTGCTGTGCCGGTACAATTGCTGCTTGAGCTCCCTGCCCTCTTTTGTCTGTGCTGTTCTGTCGTGCTGCAGCGCTGCCGTCAGAGGGAGTGCTCCAGCAGGAGATTCAAACACTGGAATTGTCACAGGGAGTTATAAACACTGGAATTGTCACAGGGAGTGCTCCAGCAGGAGATTCAAACACTGGAATTGTCACAGGGAGGGCTCCAGCAGGAGATTTAAACACTGGAATTGTCACAGGGAGTTATAAACACTGGAATTGTCACAGGGAGTGCTCCAGCAGGGGTTTTGAGCACTGGAATTGTCACAGGGAGTTATAAACACTGGAATTGTCACAGGGAGAGCTCCAGCAGGGGTTTTGAGCACTGGAATTGTCACAGGGAGTTATAAACACTGGAATTGTCACAGGGAGTGCTCCAGCAGGGGTTTTGAGCACTGGAATTGTCACAGGGAGTTATAAACACTGGAATTGTCACAGGGAGTTATAAACACTGGAATTGTCACAGGGAGTGCTCCAGTAGGAGATTTAAGCACTGGAATAGTCAGAGGAGATGCTTCTTCAGGGGTTTTAAACGCTGGAATTGTCATAGGCAGTGCTCTACCAGGAGTTTTAAACACTGGAATTGTCACAGGGAGTGTTCTACCAGGAGTTTTAAACACTGAAATTGTCACAGGAAATGCTCCACCAGGAGTTTTGAGCACTGGAATTGGCAGAGGAGGTGCTCCAGCAGGAGTTCTCAACACTGGAATTGTCACAGGGAGTGTTCTACCAGGAGTTTTAAACACTGAAATTGTCACAGGAAATGCTCCACCAGGAGTTTTGAGCACTGGAATTGGCAGAGGAGGTGCTCCAGCAGGAGTTCTCAACACTGGAATTGTCACAGGGAGTGCTCCAGCAGGAGTTTTAAACACTGGAACCGGCAGAGGGAGTGCTCCAGCAGGGCTTTTAAACACTGGAGTACTCCACCAGGAGTTTTAAACACTGGAATTGTCACAGGGAGTGCTCCAGCAGGAGATTTAAACACTGGAATTGTCACAGGGAGTTATAAACACTGGAATTGTCACAGGGAGGGCTCCAGCAGGAGTTTCTGAGCACTGGAACTGGTAGAGGGAGTGCTCCACCAAGAGTTTTAAACACTGGAGTGCTCCACAAGGAGTTCTAAGCACTGGAATTGGCAGAGGCAGTGCTCCACCAGGAGTTCTGAGCACTGGGATTGTCAGAGGAGTTTTTAAGCACTGGAACAGACAGAGGGAGTGCTCCACCAGGGGTTTTTAAGCACTGCAGTTCTTCACCAGTTTTAAACACTGGAATTGGCAGAGGCAGTGCTCCACTAAGAGTTTTAAGCACTGGAATTGTCACAGGGAGTTCTCCAGCAGGAGTTATGAGCACTGCAGTGCTTCACCAGGAGCTTTAAACACTGGGATTGTCAGAGGCAGTGCTCTGCAGGAGATTTTAAGCACTGGGATTGTCAGAGGAGTTTTTAAGCACTGGGATTGTCAGAGGCAGTGCTCTGCAGGAGATTTTAAGCACTGGGATTGTCAGAGGAGATTTTAAGCACTGGGATTGTCAGAGGCAGTGCTCTGCAGGAGATTTTAAGCACTGGGATTGTCAGAGGAGTTTTTAAGCACAGGGATTGTCAGAGGAGATTTTAAGCACTGGGATTGTCAGAGGAGTTTTTAAGCACAGGGATTGTCAGAGGCAGTGCTCTGCAGGAGATTTTAAGCACTGGGATTGTCAGAGGAGTTTTTAAGCACAGGGATTGTCAGAAGCAGTGCTCTGCAGGAGTTTTTAAGCACTGGGATTGTCAGAGGAGGTTTTTAGCACAGGGATTGTCAGAGGCAGTGCTCTGCAGGAGTTTTTAAGCGCTGGAGTGCCCCACTGGAGTGCCAGTGGTGCTGAGAGGCAGAAGCTCTGTTTGGGGCTATCAGCTGAGGGTGGGTGTGTGCCCTGCAGAGCTGTAACCTTCCCCAGCACTGCATGCAGGTGTCAGGTCACTGAATCGTGACTTTTTAGAGGCAACAATTAAAGGCTTAGGGAAAATATTCCATTTTTCACATTCCTCCCAAGCTCTTCCTGGTTACAGCCCCCTTGTAACCGCGAGCTCTGCTCTGTGCTCCTGTAGCATCATCTCTGCAAACCTGTCCCATCTTCTCCCTCACTGTGTGCAACCTCCTCCTTCTGTTACTTATTTATTTTCTCTTTTCAGTTCTAATGCTTATGGTTTCTTTTTCCAGTATGACAGACTTAACCTGCTCAAAGTAAGAATATGTTTTTCCTTTTTCTTTCTTTTCTCCTTCCCCTCTCCATTTTACTGTCTGTTGATTTTCACAGTTTGCATCTCCCTCTCAGTGAGTTTAAAAAAAACCAAAAAAGATAAATTAGAAGAGAGGATTAAGGGCTGAGGTTGTTTGGATTTTGGACAAGTCTGTTGGACTTGGTGGAGGCAAAAGCTGAGGTTTGAGTGTTGGTGTAATTAAGGATGTTGGTAAAATTATGGACATCAGTGTAATGGAGCATCAGTATAATCAGCATCAGTATAACAATCATCCATAGTCCATAATTATGGATCTCAATATAATTTTTTTTGTGTGGAAGAGCTTAAAGAAGAACCTGCAGAGCTCCTTTATAGAGGACCCTTGATTCAGGGAAACTCAAATTTGAGGAAGGGAAAAAAAAAATAAATTAGTTCCTGCAATGAATGCAGCAGAGAGGACTGAAATCCTGTTGGGCTGTGCTGACACCACAGCATGGGCACCCTGATTTAGCAGGCAGAGTGACAGCAGTGCCTCTGCTGTGTGTGTGCCAATTATAGTTTGATTATGAGGGTTTTTTTTTTCCCCAGGAATTTCTCTGTTACGCCTTTTGCTCGTTAAGGCAGACAGATGGCAAAACAAATCTGCAGGAAAATCAACTCCATCTCAGGGCCTGTGCTCCTGAGGACAAGGTGCTGTGTGCATGGCTCAGATTAATTACCCTGCTGCTTTTTTTAGTCTAGACTGGGTTGCATAAGGCTCTTTTTCCACGTCCTACTTGCAGAGAGGGATGACTTCAACCCAGTCCTTTATGAATGGATCAGGTATGGCCAAGTATGGAGAAGAGTGGGAAGCAGGAGGAAATTCCTCTGCTTGGAATGGGATGTGAGCCATGCTCTGTGTTCAGTCCCTCAGCTCATCTCCTTTCCCCAGGATTTGGGGGAAAAAGGGGGTGTTCCTCTTTTTAATGTCAGAATTTTGCATTTTAGCCTGTGTGCTGTGTTACTGTGGGGCTTTTCATGGATCCTTCAGAAACAGGATCCAGTGAGGTTTTGTGGCTGGAGTGGCACACAGGGAGCAGGAAGGTCTGGGATGGGAACAGAGCTGCCCCTGTCCCTTCACAGAAATCTGTCCCACTCTGCCCTCATCAACGCTTTCCTCCTCCCCTGTGTGTCCTTGGTGGGCAGGCAGTGCCTGAGTCCCTGTGAATGTTCCAGGGAATTAATTCCCAGGGAGGTTCCTGCAGCCTCTGTGGCCAGGCACAGCACAGAATGTTTCCCTTCCTATTCCAAACTGCCTGCAAAGCCTGGAAAATTCTCCAAGGTCAGCAGCAAGATGGCTTCAGAGGAGGGAAGGCAGTGAAATATTGCTTCTGTCCTTGGGTGTTATCCACTGAAGGGTTTGGGAGAGGGGACAGCACAGCTGGAGCTGCCCACCCTCATGGGGAAGGCTCTGGTGCCCCCAGGCTTCACTGGCACGAGGGAAATGCCCCCAAAAAAGGGGGATTCCTGTGATTTCTGTGTCCTGAAGGAGCTCAGCATCCTGCCCTTGGAAAGCCAGCCTGGCTGCGGTGGGAAGCTCATTCCTTCCTCTCCCTGTGCAGATAAATCTCATCTCCAGCTGAAAATTGCCAAGCGTGGCTTTCCAAGCTGAGCCAGCTCTTTTGTGTGCTCCAGTGTGACGTGTGGCCTGTCCTCTCCAACCATCTGAAATGCCATGATAAGGATGGGGGGAAAAAAAAAAATCACATGTGCAGATGATGCAAAACACTGTGCGCTGAAATGCTGAAAAAAAAAAAAAAATCCCAGCTTTTTTTTTTTCCTTGCCCAGCTTCTCTAGCGATTTTGTACAGCACTTTTCCTGGCTCTCTGTGTGTGTGTGTGTGTGTCTCCCTTTTAAAATTCAAAATACCCTTGGAACATTTGCCTTTCGTGGGCAAAGCTGTGTCCCTGCCCTTAGCAGTGCTTGGAGGGCTCAGTGTGAGTTTTACCATCCGGCCAGTGGAAGAATGAAGGCCCTGAAGAGGTGGCTGGCGGTGATGATGATGATGATGATGTGATGGTGTGCTGATGATAATGATGATGTGATGATGCTGTGATGATGATAATGGTGATGATGATGATGATGATGATGATGATGATGATGAGCTCCTCCGTTGCTGGCTGGCCCTGCTGGTTGCAGACAAGGTGGCAGCATGTCTGTGTGTGTGTGCATGTGGACATGCACACCTTGGCCTGAACTGTTTCCTGTTCCAGACTCCTGCTGCTGGACTTGTCCCTTGCTCCTGTACCTGGGGATAACTGTGTCACACCACACTGTGAAACCCATTGAAATCTTCTGTTTAATCCCACTTTCACTTCACTAATGATCCAAACCAGACTGGACCTGCTTTCTCTGTCCCTCTTTCTTTTTGATCCTAAGATCTCTGTGCTAACTAATGCTTCTCTTTTATTTTGTCCTTACAGAAAAGCCAGAGTTGGTATAATGTAAGTACTCCCGTTTCTCTTGTCCCTGGGTGCTCTGGGTGGGAGGGGGGAAGGTGCAAAGGGGCTTTGCAGTGGCACTGGGGCACCCCGACCATTTCCAGAAGGAGGAGCTGGAAATGGCTCAGCACTGGCAAAGGAGGGCTGGCATCCTCAGGGAAGGGATGCCAGAGACAGAGAGCAGAAGCTTTGTCCTTTTGGCCAGTCTGGTGATGCTCCCCACATCCTGCCCCTCTGGTGTCCCAGCGTGGGGTGTGGTGACAGAGCTGCTGTCACAGACACATTTTATGAAAAATATTTTCCTCAGGATTTTTTCTCCTGAGAAGCTGAGAGGCCTCAGGAACAAAATGCAAACAATGGTTATCTGCTGCTGTGGAATGCAACAGGTGCATCTGGGATTGGGCTCATGTGGATGTTTCTAATTAATGGTCAATCACAGCCCAGCTGGCTCGGACAGAGAGTCTGAGCCACAAGTTTTGTTATCATTCCTCTTTTTCTATTCTTAGCCAGCCTTCTGATGAAATCCTTTCTTCTTTTAGTATAGTTTTAATATAATATATATCATAAAATAATAAATCAGCCTTCTGAAACACAGAGTCAGATCCTCGTCTCTTCCCTCATCCTCAGACCCTGTGAACACCCCCACAAGCTGCCACCCTGCAAACCCTGTGCATCTCTCAGGGTGGCCTGGGGGCCACAGAGGATTTATTTTCTACCAATCCCAAAGAAACACCAACCACCCTTTGCTTCTGCCTTGGTGTTTTTTCCTTCTGCCAGCACGAGGGGCCCTGCTCTGGGCTCAAAGTCGGTGTCACCTTTGCACGGTGGGGTCCCCAGCCTCTGAAGTAGCCATAGGCAAATGCAGCAGCCACCCGTGGTCAGCCACAATTCCTGCCCTCCTGCAGCCTTGCACAGCAGGATGGGGGCCAGCAGAATGTGGCACTTGGGCTGAAACAGTGAGGTGGAGAGGCAGAGTTGGGATCCTGCTGGGTGTGAACAGCATCACAGGAAGAGACCCCAGAGGCAGAGAGGGACTGAGGCAGCAAATGAAAGAATAAGATTTTATTTTAAGAATAAAATACAAAGCAAGGTGGGCCAAGCTGGTGGAGAAGTGGCAGATAAGGACTGTGAGCAGATGCCTCAGTCTGAGCTGGCTGCTGCCAACCCTGACTCTGTCACCAGCCTAGAGGTGACTTTGGCTCTTACTGCTTCTGCCTGTAGCTGCTGAGCTCCATTCCCTGCTGCATGATGCTTTGCTGTGCTCTGCTTCTGTGGGTCTCTTGTGTTTTCATGTCCTCTCTATCTTATCTTTCTGTTCTCTTGTTTTTCCTCCATATATTTTCAGCATGAGAGACAGTACATCCGGAGAGTAAGCACTGGCTGCATTTTTTTGTGGTTTTCCCCACCCCACCCCATTATTTTCCTTTGTAAACAAAACAAACCCATTTTCTAGTTAGCAGAGACATTCTGGCCAGATAAAAGCAGCAGTGTGAAAATATGGATGAGGCACAGGCTGCAGGAAGTCAGTCAGTCCTACTTGGCAGAGTTATTTCCATTAAAAATTTGCTAATGCATCTCCTTGATAGAGTTTCCCTTCTTTGGTAAGGGAATCCTTCCAGGCAGGATTTTTCTGCCATTTGGACCATTCTGGTTCCTCCATTCCTCTCCCTGCTGAGGGCAGCTCTAGAAATGAACCAGTGCAATCTCCCTCTTATGGAACCTCACATTTCCTTTGCCCACTTTCCCCCACTCTCATTTTACACAAACCCCTCCACGCTGCTCTGTGTGCCAGGCACTGTGCAAACCCAACCCAAAAAATAATCCCCAGAAGAGCACATGGGCCTTAAAGATCTGCAGGGCATCACCAATTTTCTTCATTTTTTTGCTGCTTTTAACTGGTCTTTTTGTCTCTGGAACACTGCATTCCTCCTTGCCAGTTGGAACCCTCCCTTTCCCCTCTCCTGGATTCCTTTTTTTCTATTTTTTTTTTTTTTTTTTTTTTTTTCCTTAAATGCCACCAACTTCTCCTGCCTTGTGTGTTCTGTGGATCCCAGCAGTGCTTTTTTGGGATTTCCATCCCTGCCCCATGGAGAAGTGGGAGGAAAGGGGTGAAATGAGCTCGTGGGCTGGTCTGGCAGAGCTGCCCCCTCTCTGGTTCTGCTTTCTCTGCTTGGCTTTGCAGAGGACAGATCCAAACTGGTGCAGGTGCTCTGTGAGAGTGAGAAGAGAAGCCCAGTTTGGGAATAAATGCACTCAGAATTGTGGGGTTTGCTTTGTGTTCTTGTCCTCGTGGTGGAAGAGCAGAGAAGGTCAGGGGAAAGGAAAAGTCCCTGAGGTTTGTCTCATGCCTTTAGTGAGTAATTTTGTACGTGGAGACTTTGGTTTGGAAATACTGTGGTGGTTAGAGGGGGGAAAAAACCTGTTGGTTCCTTGTGGTTTAACCATTGTAGTGTCTGCTTTGGGTTGTGTGTCTGCATGGTGAATTATTGTTAATTCATTTATTATTTTTAAAATAATTCATAAAAACAGACCTCAGGCCTTAAAGCTAATTTTCCTTTGTAGTTTTGTTTGCTGAAGCAGAGATGTGCCTTACCCTGTAGCCCTGAGGGGCTCTGAGAGGTGGAATTTGTGTTTCTCTTCCCTGAGGACACCAGGGAGGAGCTGCTCTGTCTGGGGGGTGTCAGTAACTCCACACCTGGGAGAAGCCCCTTGTCACCCAGCAGATGCCATTAAAATGAGACACAAACTGGAGATGTTTTGCTGCCAGGGATAAAATCTCTGTCCTCTCCTCATTTTCTCTGAGTTTTGGGCAAAGGGCCCCATTTCTGTGTCTCTGAGCCTGGCAGATCTGCCATGGTTTTCCTGCCTCATTCTGCCTCACGTGGGCTGTGAACCCTTCCACTCCCTGTTCCTGAATTAGGGTTTGTGTCTCCATATCCTGCAGCATTTCTGCTGCTCCACAGCAAGGTTTGCTTCCTAAATTCAGCACCAGGCATCAGGAGAATCCAGAGGATGCTCTGGAAAAGAGAGTGAATAAGATGAACTTGAAAAGTTAGAGAAAACTCAGCTGACAGCAGGGAAGAGGTGAGATTTAAACCCATGAGGTTTTCACTTTGGCATTTACACCCCAAGGTCTGCCTTGCTCTGAATTCCTTTATTTTTATCTCTCGCATGCCTGAATGTTTTTCTTCTTCCTTTAACTGAGTGGTGAAAAGGCACTAAAAGGCATTAGGTGTTCCTAAATATTAGAATATCAGGAATATTTGCTGTCCCAGCCAGTGTGGGCAGATGAAGAGAGCCTACACTGAATAGAGCCCACACTGAATAGAGCCCACAGGTGAACAGAGCCCACACTTTCCCACCTGTGTTTGGGACAGCAAAGTCTGCCCTGAGGATTGCCTGAATGTTTTTCTTCTTCCTTTAACTGAGCAGTGAAAAGGCACCAATTGTCTCTTTTAGCTGTTCCTAAATATCAGAATATCAGGAATATTTGCTGTCCCAGCCAGCGTGGGCAGATGAAGAGAGCCCACACTGAATAGAGCCCACACTGAATAGAGCCCACAGGTGAACAGAGCCCACACTTTCCCACCTGTGTTTGGGACAGCAAAGTCTGCCCTGAGGATTGCCTGAATGTTTTTCTTCTTCCTTTAACTGAGCGGTGAAAAGGCACCAATTGTCTCTTTTAGGTGTTCCTAAATATCAGAATATCAGGAATATTTGCTGTCCCAGCCAGCGTGGGCAGATGAAGAGAGCCCAGCCCTTCCCACCTGAGTTTGGGAGAGCAAAGTCTGCGCTGAGGATTGCAGGGTGTGGGAGAGGAGCCCTGCTCCTGCAGCTCAGATTTGTGCACACAGGGCAGCCTCAGCCTGGCAGGAGCTCAGAGTCTCCAAAACAACCCCAAAATGCCCCTGGGGAGGCAGGTGAAGGGAGAGGGCAGAGTTTTCCTGTGGGGGAATGCAGGGAAAGCCTGTGCAGGAGGAGCTGGGAGGATCTGTCCTGGATTGTGAGGCTCTAAAGGGCCTTTGGGGGAACTCTGAGCAGCTCCTGAGCTTCTGGAGGATACCCAGACATCACAAGAGTGATAAGGAATCAGCCCTGGCTGGGCTCAAAGGGCTCTGTCTGCTCTTGGAGACCTCGTGGGTGCCACAGTGGAGGGGAAACTCGGCTGTTGGAAAGAGTAAAACATTTCTTATAAAGGCAAAGGGGAATTCTGCCTCACCTTTGTGAGAACATCAGGAAAACCTTCCCAGGGGTGGCAGGTGAGCCTCCCTCAGCAGCAGCAATCACGGGAATGGAGTTTAATGCAGAAATCCAGGCCTGATGTGGGAGCAGGGTGTTGAAGAGCCCTTTTCTCTGTAAATCAGCACAATCATCTTTGAACTCCCAGTGACCATTTCTTAATGGTTAACTCCCAGTAACCATTTCTTAATGGTTAACTCCCAGTAACCATTTCACCAGATTATTTCTGGACCAATGTTAACTCCCTGCCTTTCAGGTGCTTTTCATCCTGTCAGGTTTTCCCCTCTTTTCTCAGTAAATCAACACAATCATCTTTGAACTCCCAGTGACCATTTCACCAGATTATTTCTGGAGCAATGTTTAACTCCCTGCCTTTCAGGTGCTTTTCATCCTGTCAGGTTTTCCATGACTTTCAGTGTGTGGATTACCAGTTGCTGGGTTGTAGAGGCACTAAATTGGCAGTAAACTTTCAGTGCAAGCTCCTGTGATGATGAACTCAGATCCATTTTCCAGCCCAGGTCCCAGTGATTACTTTGAAGCATCTTCCTCTGGTTTTCATTCACTTTTAAAAGGAGAAAAAGATGGAAAATCTGAGCAACCAGAATGGGTTCAGAGGAGATGCTGTTGGACTGGGGGCCACTTTCTTTGCTGGTTTTTCACACCAGCCCTGCTGTCAGTGGGGTCTAAACTCTCCCAGAGAGTGTTCTGGTTATTCCAGCAGTTTTCCAGAAGCAATGCCATTAAACCACACAAGTCCATCAGTC